ATAGTAAAGAATCAAGAGATCTGGAAAAATAAAAACCTACTGTTGCTAAAAAATGGCCCAGATACACTGAGGAAGAAATGGTCAGTGCATTTTTAGAATTACCTGTGTACTAAAAAATATATATATACTTAAAAACTTTTCAAGGACATTATCAAAAATAATCAGTTGCTGTCAAATATCTTCTCTTCAAACAGCTTGAATATGTTCACAAGTCAAATTCATTCATTTTTGCAGAGCCTGATACCACCAGTGGGTCACAGGCAGCAGAAGCCCTGGACTTGTTCAAAAAGTGATGGGAACCATCATACATACACACAACTAACAGCTCACAACTCCTTTTCTGGCTTACCTCACATATCTCTCCCCTTAACTATTTTTCCCCCTCCCCTTGCTCTGTTAAGAATAATATAAAATAAATAACAAATGTCTTCCACAATATCTGTTGCTTTGTGGACACTTCAAGTTAATTTTCCTTCTGTGAATAAAGATTACCTAGTATGGCATTTGTCAATTAGGAGATAAATAAATATTTAAAATAAACACTAAATCATAAAAAAGGCAAACAAAGAAAATAAATTGGAAAAGCACAATAGATTTGTCCATCAAATCACATAACAAGTAGCATTTTACAGTGGACCAAGTTTAGCTTACTGTTTGAATTTTAACTACTTAATTTATTGTGTGAAGTTTCACTAAGTATTCTCACTAAGGTGACATTTTAAAACATCTGAGACATGGTATATTTCTAGTCTGCCTTAGCTCATTTCTCCTTTCCCAACTTCCACCTAATGTAGCTACTATGAGATTCTTTTAAATAGATCTAATGTCCTATTTTTCAGACCACTGAATCTACATTATATCCATGAAACTGGTATAAGTGCAGACATCCTAGCTATTCAGGCAATGTTACAAGGGCATCATCATTGTTCATTTGTGTGATCTCTATGTATCTTGTCATCTTTCCAGGGTAAGACTGCCAAGGTGTTGGACTCTTCATTTGGTGGAGTCTAATTCTGTTCTCTTTACAAAGAGCTAGTATTACACTCAGCAAAGGTTACCATTTACGTGAGACATGAAGCCTGTTGGCATAACTCATCACCAGAGAAAAATCCCTAGCTATTTTTTCCCTCAAGGACATCCCCAGTGCTACCTAAAATCAAGAAGGAACACTTCAGGACAGATCACATGTAGCCCACACACATTCTGAATCCACATTTTCATTTTGATTCTCTTGAGTGCAGTATTATTTCACAGCAATTAAGCAAAAGGGTTTGCTTAACCTTTTAAGCAAAGAAAAAGAAAAGAGGAGTTGTGAGCTGTTAGTTGTGTGTATGTATGATGGTTCCCCTTTATAAGGGCTGGATTTGCTCTTTTTCTATCCCTTATAGGAAAATACATGAGAATCAAATGTAAAGACTAGCTTTAAGCAAGAGAACTCAATATTTAAGGGTGAGCTTTCTTTTAGAAATTATTCCTTTTCTGGAAAGGGGCAGGGAGGGGATCTCATGTTTGGTTTTGTTTTATCACTTACTCAAATGAGTTCTGAAAGATTTGTTTTCATCAATAAATAACACTCTAAACTCTAAGTAATTTCTAAAGCTAAGCTCATCTTTCAAACCTCTGCATTCTGGAGTGGCAGTCTAAGACTCAGCCTTAAGTATTGACTATTTTGCTTGTGACCCCAATGCTCATCTTTCTTTTACTTAACTTTCTGACAGAATTTCACCTACTCTGGTAATTATGAAAATTAAAATAATATTTTCAAAATATTTAAATTTAGAGATTTTAAAAATATTTTAAAAGAGCAAACGGACCTAGAAGAAACCTTAGGGACCTCGTCACTTCTCATTTCTCATTAGATATGAGATAACTGAGGCCCCAAAGGTGTCTGCCCAAGGTCACATAACCAATTAATGACAGACCTAGAACCAAAATCCAAAATTCCTCCATTCTGAATTAGTGCTCTCTCCCACACAACCTGGCCTTCAATATCTTTATCCATTTCTATACAATCTTCAGACATAGATTGTTTAATGCATGCTAACCAGTGGCATATTCCAAAGAAGTACTCAGGGCATTTCTGGGTTCCATTAGTTATCACGGCCTCCTTTCGTTGGCTGGAAGATCGGGGACAAGAGATGGAAAGTCCCACCTGCCCTCCTCACTCCGTGGATTAAATGATAGCATGAGCTGTCTGGTGCACTGCCCACGAAGTTGACTGTTCATGTTTAGAACAGGAAGCATCTGGAATGTTAGGGGGCCCAGTACGACCTTCCCTTTATAAGGACTGGATTTGCTCTTTTTTGTTCCCATTAGCCTGGGGACACGGGACAATTTCAAGGTGGGCCCAAACCTAAAGCTCACTTTCCACCAACACTACTCTGCTATGTTCTAGCTTTTTTGAGACATGCTTAGAGGAAATTCCAGCCTCTTGAAACAACTGCCCTTATTTTATTTACAAGTATGTTTCTTATAAAAAGTTCTAAAAGTTTCATTACACATTTTCTTACTTAATCCTCCTCTTCCCATGAGGGTAAGCATTTCATTTTTATCTTCCTGCCATAGCCAGAGTTTCTCTGCTATTTATGAGATTTCTTTCCAGAGTCTAGAAGTCAGAATTTCTAGAAGCCACAATCTCAACTGAAGTCTCAGCCAATTCTGCTAACAAAGCAAATTCATTGACTCAACAAATATTTATTCTGCATCTCCTATATGACTGACACTATTCTAGGCACTAGAGACATAAGAATGAACAAAACAGACTAAGTCCTGCCTTCATGGCGCTTACTACAAGTAAAAGGATTGTTCTATTATCTATGGAATTCAAAACCAAAAATACAGTACCAGATAAAAGAAAAAAATCACTACATTCTCAGCTACTCAAACTAATACCCACTTTTAAATTTATCTAGTTTTATAGAGTCCATTTGCTATAGTCCAGTATGGATTACAGAAGAAGCCAGAATATTTGACTGACTCTTCTGCCAACAGATTGCATGACCTTGAGCAAATACTGTAACTTCTTTGACCCTTAGTTTTGGTTTTTGAAGATGTCAGACAAGATTTCCCATGATTTCTCTTGGTCTGCAATTCTATGACTGGTTAACTTCACCTACAATGGCTAGTGTGGTACGAGGACTTACTGCCAAGGTCAGAAGGGGAAGACTCTGTATCAATTGCTTTTATTGATGGGCTAGAGCTAAGAGAAACAGCACAAAGCAACACAGACCTCCTAGGACTATTGACAGCATCACCCAATGCAATAATCTGTGATATCAATCAGCTCCGCACCTGCTCTGTGCTTGACACCAGGCTAGACACTTTGGGGATGGGAGACATACAAAAAGATGCCTGATCTTAAGGAGCTTCTAAATGAGAGTATAGAGAGAGAGTAAATAATTAAAAACAAAAGTGTATTATAGAGGTTGCAAGTTCACAAGAGAAGAAAATCAAAGAGAGCTAGATTAGAAACCTGTGTGGACAGGTGGGACTTCACCCCCATCTACATTATCACCACTATCACTAACATAACATAATAATAGCAGCCAACTGAGTGCATGATATGTGGCATACATATGAGTTACGTACTTTTGTGGGCTATCTCATTTAACCCTCAAAACAACCCTAGAAATAAACCTACTCGGCCTATTTTTACAGATCAGGAAACTGAGGCTTAAACAGAAGCCTAATAATATACCCAATAAAGGGTGAATCTGGCAATCTGATCTCAGAGTGTTCCACACCACTAAACGGTTATGGGATGCCTTCCCACATGATGAGATAAAGGGATAAGCACAGTACCTGGTACACCGCTTAGTATCCTATAAATGTTACTTACTTTCCCTATCCATCCCCCACCACTATTCATTCCATAACTCCCATCCCCAACTCATACACATACACACCTCAGCTTTGCCAATTTCTACATTCTTCAGAGTTCAGATGACAGTCCTCCCTGGGCAGGAAGCTTTCCTAGACCAGTCAAGCTTCGGTCTCCTTTGAAGTCAAGATACTAACTTCTAACAGCCTATATATGGGATGGTTATGTGCTGCCTTGTGATGTCACTGGCACTCTTTATAATGTCTTACGACATTAATGTTTCCAATGTCTTATGGCATTATTAAGATGGTTCTTATATTTTTATTAGGCATCTTCTGCATTACTGAGCTTCTCATATAGTTTCATCGTGTCACCTAACTCTAACTCCTTCATGTTGTTCCTGGGGTCTTGGCATAGAAAACATTAGGAAGAATTCACCAAATCAAAAGTTTGAGTGTTTATGGAATTTTCATTCATTAAAAACATGATCCAAGTCAAATAAATACAGCCAACATTTCGAGGTTTGAGCCTACCCTGTTTTGAAAGTGTATAGGTACAGACCCTGTGACAATTTCGGACATAAAAGAAATCTGTGCATGTCTGCAATCCCTCTAGCACATGTGCATTCACAAACTGAATCTATCCTCTTCTGAACTACCAAAGAATGATTCTATCTGCTTTTTGAAAATGAAAACAACCAATTAAACCTTTAAAAAAGGCAGTTCCAGTTCACAGATTTATTTTAATCTTCCAAACTTACTATAAAATACTATATATAATAAATATAATGCATATGTATAGTTTAAATAATAAAATATGCAGTCTGTAATCACGACCTACCTCAAGAAATGAAATATAAATAGTATTAGTAAATCTTCTACACCACCAAAATTTAATTCTAAAGCAAAATAAGCCTAAAGTGGGTATAAAACTCCAAGATCAACACTAATATATTTGGGAAATGACTCAGTACTTCTGGCTGCAAGTGTTGTAGCTCTATACAGGTAAACGTCTAGATTACTTAAACTGAGAATATTGATTAGCTAAGAATCCAGATGTTCTGGACTGACCTGCTGTCTGCAACTCACTTGCTGGCCCTAGTATGAATAAAATGTACTTGAACTAAACTTCATGAATTTCAGTGAACTTTAAATAGAAGTTCTTTTTGCTTTTTTTACAGGTAACCAGGAAATATCTTTAAAATTTTGCCTCTGGGATTGTGCTTGGAAAATGCTACAGAAATGTCAGAGTAAGTATAGAATGTGCGTATGAGTGGCATTTTTTGCAGATAAAATGGGGGAAATTCTTCTTTTTAAAAAATAAAAATAAATAAAACCATTAAAATGTCCCAAACTTCGAAGCAATTATTTGTTTTATGTTATTTCTTCTGCACAATTTAAGTGTTTAGTAACAGTCCCCTGACTATTGGACTAAGACAAAGGAAATTTAAAGTGAAACTATTAGGAGCCATAATCCACTAATACTTGATCAAAAAGAAATAAAACTAAAATTATTATGCCAATCAAAAGAAAAATAAGGATTATAGGTAAAACTGTGATACACTCAAATGTGTAGAGTGAGGCACTTCTACCAAAGCTGCCTCTAATGTTCCTTATACTGTTGTTTGGTCTTGTTTCCCCTACAGGATAAAGAAGAAAACCACTAAAGTTTCTCTGACTATCAGTTCCCCAGTTAATGAAACGACCAACATCAGATCAAGTTATTCTACCTTAGTTCAACCATTGTGTATTGACCCCCAGAGGGTAAGTTCAGTTTTAAAAGCCTTCCAAGGGGTCCCAGTAATAGAGACACAAGCCCAGAGAAGAAGGAATCAATCAACCCAACCTTCTTGAAGAGTATCCTTGAGGAAGCCTCCAGTTGAATGGCCTCAGAAAGTACAAAAAAACCCGTGCATCTCAGAAATAACTCCATGAAAGTTCTGCGGGTTGGCCATTTGTCTATGTACCAGACCATAAGGGACAGTTGGTTTTAGGAGCTCAGTCTCATAACAGAGTATTCCAATTATTCAAGGAATGAAAAAAAAAGAGGAGATGCCTTCTCAAAATCTGAAAGATACTAGAGCAATTGTATGAGAAGGGAAAATAATTCAGTCATAAAGTTTAGAAATTATTTAAACTTTGCATGCGCCATCTCTAGATAACTGCCAATACTCATTTCTCAAATGTAATTGCCCAGTGTTGTATTTCACCATCTCAGCTAATGGAATGTTGCAGGGCAGAGAAAAAATGGTGGCATTGGAGCAGATACCCAGACTGACATTTAAATTAGAAGCATCATCCTTTTCAAAAAGGAGACTTAGGGTGTGGTTAGTAGCAGTTAAAATGGATCCAGTTGGTTCACAGCCACCATGCACCGAGGTTTCAGGACCTTGACAATATGCATGATACCGTCTCTTCTATTTCTTAACCCAGATGCAGAGTCCCTGCAGCAGCCTGTCAGGAGCCACTTGTGGTGTAGCTCCTGAGTTTACCAAGGTAACCTATCTATACTGCATGATGGAATTTGGGTTTTATAAAGTGTAGGCATTATTGAAGGGATAAGAAGGAAAGGGGAAATGAGAAAGGACCTCAGATTATTATTATTTGATATATGAGAAAACTGAGTCCCAGAAAAGGTGAAATTATTGTTCGATGTTACAGAACAACTCAGGGTTTATCCTACCCTCCTTAGATTTTTGTTGTGTGTTAAGTCCTCCAGCTCTGGAGGGCAGTCCTTAGACTGTGCCCTCCCAGCAGACTGCGCTCCTCTGCCTGCCCCCAAGGCTCCTCAGTCAGAGCAAAGCAATGTCTACTTCCTGCTTGGGTCACAGCCAGAGGTCAGGATTGAGAAAGCTCCTCTATCACTCAGTGAACACAGCAGGATTCAGTCAACAAAATCAAGCCAAACTAAGGTTGAAATCTTCTCTGGGCTCTGTCCCCCATTTTCCAAATCGGACAGAACTAGAGTCACTGCCCAATACTGGCCCAAGATACGAGAAGCAGGTCAGGGACTTAATCTGTACGAGATGCAAGGTGGGAGATAAGAAACGACATCATTAAGAGTAGGGCGCACTACTGTCAATTCTGGAAGCTGGGCTTCAGCAGATGCCATCAGGCACACAGGTATGCTTTCCACAAGTCTCCTCTCCTGCTTCATTCCTTCCCTGTGATATGTGGTCCTGGGCATCAGGCCTCAAGGGCTACGCTTGTGGTCACCGTGTCTCAACTAGACTTCACTTGACAGAAGAACCTCAGATATTCCCTCCCTGGTCTCAGGGCCACGTTGCAATCTGAAATGTAATTCTAGAGTCTAGAGGACCCTGCTGGGAATAGGAAAGGAAGGAGATCATGATTTAAGGGGAAAATTTACCACAGCTGTCACCCATTCATGTATGCATGTGAGATTAAATTAGCTATTGTTAATAAACACTTTTTATGTATCAGTATAACTCTTCATTATTTAAAGTAAGTTTTCAGATTACTAGTTTGAAATGAGCCTCAAAACCTCAAGGCAGGCTGAGTATTCTGCTAGTCCTGTACACCAATAAGGGACCTGAGTTCCACAGAGGTTGGGAGTCTTCTGAGTTCCTACCAGCAGCTTCAATAAGCCAGTGGCAGAGTTGAGATCTTGGCCCAAGTTGTTTGAGTCATGATTCAGAATCCTTAATGAATTATAATACTGCCCATGTTACTTGATAATTATAAAGATTAAAATCTGTGACTATATATGTACTCAACAAAATGAAGACGTTTCAACTAATCTCTTTTCTATTTTGAAAAATGGCTCTTGGGGAAGTGAACAACAATTTTCTCATTAAACACAAAGTCTATGAAGTTAACATAAAAATAACTTAATACCTGACTATAAAACACAAAAGAATGCCCAGCAGCTACTTGTTTTGAAGGAGGCATGGTCAGTTGTCAATGACTGTGATGAAAAGCATGCACACTTACTGTAACTGGCATCTCAGATCACTGTATATGGTAAAACAGTTTCTTCCATTCTGTGAATTCTGTGATTGATCTTCAGCATCTTCAAGACATCTCTACAACCAGAGGTCAGTTTGTCATCTTTGAATGCCGAGTCCAGGCCACAGCTGCAGTTCAAGTTCACTGGTACAGAGAGACAGAACAGATCGCAGACTCAGATGACTTCCGGATTCTGAGGAAAAGTATCCTTAGCAGCTTTTCAATTTGCTTTTTATTCCAATTAACCCTGAAATCTAATGCATGTTTTAAAGTTTAACAGCTGATTTGTTGCCAGCTCACTGTTGTTAAACAATTGTAATTTCAAATCCAAATAATTCCTCAACAAAAGCAATCAAAAAAGAAAAGGTAGCTGTTTTGTTTGATGAAACAATAGTTTTAATAGCTGTGAAAAACACTGGTTTATTTTCATAAATTAATCTTACTATCTCCTAAAGAGTTCCTGGCACACAAACAAGAAAAAATGTGAAAATAAAACATATTTTTTAAAGAGTAAAACAAATTAAAACTGATGTATAACTTCCTAAGTACTTTATTGTATAAGTTTGCTGTCAAATAATTAATTTAGGGAAGGGTAACAAGTATGATGATCCACCTCATGCTAAACAACGGATTTAGACTTTATGAATAATTTCTCATTTAATCCTCACATCAACATTTTGAAGTATGTGTTATTATCTCCATCTGTAAGTAAGAAAACTGAATCAGAGATGCTAAATGCCTTGCCAAAGTCACGAAGCTAGTAAATGCTGTGGCCAGGGTTCAAGCCCAAAACTGTTCCTGTGCTAAGTGAAGAAAATATATTCATTTAAATAGGAATTCAAAACAACTGAACATTTGCACATCGCATTTAGGAAGAAACACCTCTATTATACAATATGGTATTTCCTTTAAAAATAACAATTATTGCATTTTCTGAAACTAAAGTAATACAGATGATAATAAATCTAGAAAATATATAATAAAAGAAGAAATTTTAAAATTACCCATTATCTCACTACCCAGAGAAAATGATTATTAACCTTTTATGTACCTTTCTACAGCAATACTACAGTATTTTTGTAATGCAATGTTCAACTTACTTTTAATTAGAAAGATAAAAAGAAAAGGATTTGCTCAGGAGAACGAGGCCAGTTCAGGATTAGTGTTTCAGCACTGGTTTCATATATACAGAAAAGAGATGTTATTTGGTCTTATCTTCATGTTAGACATGAAGAACTAAGCCCCAGAGAAGTAAAGCAATTTTCACAAAGCTACAGAGCACTTTAAGGGAGACCACGGCTAAAGCACAGTTCTTCTAGCACCTGCCAAGTATCACTCTGTTATGTACCTTTTCTGAGTTTCTAAAGAATTTATAATCTGTAACTCCAGGTAACATCCAACCTTGTATTTGCTTCAAGTTATTTCTCGTATGCACAAGGCCCCTTCTCCAAACCAAATTAATTGTCATTAAATTCTCTGTTCTCTTGTTTTATCTTTCAGAAGCTTGCTTATCATCCATTCCCGGTAAGCAAAATTTTTCAACATCTTGATAACAAACAATTAAATCAAAATTACCATCTGAAGACCTTTTCCTCTAAATCAATTTTGCCTTCATAAGCAGTTTTGAGGCTACCCTATGCCAACTGTTGAACTGACACAACAGAAGAAGCAATATAACTGGGATTTATCAGTATTTATTCGTCTATTCCTTTACTCAACAAGTATTTACTGGGGATAGAGTAGGGCCAGGTTCCATTCTTGGCACTGAGGAGGTCCCCGCCCTCATGAGCACACATGCTTCCTCCTGACTCCACTTGGCATAGTATCTGTGACTCATGAGCATACACAGAGGCAGGAAGGAGGTGTCCTGAAATCACACATCCAAACGCCGACAGCCCAGGAAGGAGGTGCATGCCCCTCACACGGTGGCCAACACTATACTAACGTTAGGTCTAACCACCACGGCAATGACAATTTTTAGGTCAGTTCAGAAAATCTTCCTATAGGATCTTATGCTAAGCACTAAAGCTACAGCAATCCAGAAATCAAAGGATAAAGTATAATCCCTACTTTCAAGGAACTCACAGTCTCGTAGAGAAAAAACAGATGTGTCTGAGGAGCACGTGACAGGGACCGTGCTGGGATTGTTTTAGGCGATATTTTTAAGATTCATCTTCATGGGCCCACTCAAGGACAAAAATTCAGACAGGTTTTTTTCAAATCTCAGTAATATCGTCTTTATTCCTAATGCCTACTCGCCCTGACATCCTAACACACTATTTGTTTGTTAGTTTTGGGCATCCAAATATTCTAGTCAAGTTGAATCTCTTGCCTTTTCCAGAGGAAGTCTGCACCTTGATTATCACGGAAGCATTTCCTGAGGACTCTGGGGAATTCAAGTGCATTGCAGAAAACGAGGCTGGGACTGCAATCTCAGCAGCAAGACTCTTTGTCTCCCCAGGTAATTACTCCTCACTTCTCCCTGCTCCAATTGCACTCTAAGCCAAAAGAAAGAGTCTGTTTCTATCTGAACTGGAGACTAATTCTATTTTTCAGAAGGAAAAGAAGTGGAAAAATCAGAAAATCCTCCAAAGTTACCCATGAGGAAGTGTTCTCCAAAAACGGTCGCCTCTCCCTGGAGCAGTGAGAGCTACACAAAGGACAAAAATTCAGACCATATCCCAAGACACCTTAGGCAAACAGGTCCTGAACTGGCCAGTCACACTGAACATGAGATGCAGGTTCCAGAAGAGGACTGCTGCACCTTCAGTGAACATTCCTCTGAGCCACAATCACAACGGTAAGGGCAGACAGACCTAACATTGATTCATTCAACAAATGTGCTTAGTTCTGTAGGCAGAGCTCCTACCCCCAGGGAAGTTTCCTCCTGAGATAAATCACTTTAACTCTATCATTTCCCCCGTGCCCTCTTACCATGCATTTCACCATGGCTGAAATAGTATGCAGTGTGCTTAGATCCACATTTAAAAGTTTCTTACAGAGACTGATTTTTTTTTCAAAATCAATAATGCTGAAATGGCACAAACTTTGAAGAAGTGGAATCTCTTCCCAAAATAGAACTCAGGGTCTTATTTTAATATAAATATAAAAAACATCTTGTAACACAGGTTTCTTCACAGTCAGTCTTAGAATACAGACAAAATCATCCTTGCATTTAGAAGACAAATGCATACATGGAAAGTTAATTCAGTAAGTGAATTTGACAACCAGGTTATGTTTAAAACAATCTACCACCATTTCTACCCCCCAAACACAAGTCTCAAACCAAAATATTGATTTAAAATCCCAATTTAAAGATTGATACTTAAAAGAAATTTAAAAGTTTTCATTTTAACAATATCTAACATAGTCCACTAAATATTTTACCAATATAAAGTTAGCTGTAGATTAAACACCTTGAGGAAAACTTAATAAATCAGCATTCTTGACTACATACCTAGTACAACTAAATGTAGCCTCTGTTAATTACAAAATAAAATGATATTGAAATCTCTTTTAAGGAGAGGCTGCTTAAGTAGTATTTGGGTCTATGAAGTGAGAGAATATATCATGTTAGAAATGGAAGGAATCAGAGGTCATATACGTGAAGTTCCTCCTTCTACAAAATGACTAAAATTGTAGATGATTGGCTCATATTGTTGAGGTCTAGTTCCTTAGACTCCCATGACCTTAAGATAGGTAATTCTCCAGTGTTTCTTGCAATGAAGACACTGAGGGAAAGAATTTGGACTTGGAGACTAACAGACCTGGAACAACGTATATGAAGTACACAGTAGGAATGCAATAAACAGTAAGTGTAACTTCACTGCATTGTTTTGTTTTGTTTACCAGGATCAGTATATCTCCAATAACAGCTTGCGACTGATTTCTCAGTTGGTCTCCCGGAACTCATTTGGCTTCTGGGGTTTCTAGTTGCCTGGGCAGCAGCTAACCCTACAAATAAAGATTCCTCAAGAGGTCAAGAAAGAGTGGGTGTGTGGGACAATAGATAAGACTGCAATTCATTCAACAAACATTTATTCAGAACATTCTATGTATTTGTCAGTTTCTGTGCTAAACTTGCCATGGGAAAATGGCCAGTACTGATGATAGCTATAACTTTTCTCCATGAATACCTGTGTTTAGCAGCGAGCCCTTAAGACTTAAGAAGACCTTGAATTTATAGTAGAGTACCTTTTAAAGAAGATTTCCATCTGTTCATCATAAAATCACCTGTCGGGAAAATTATTGGGTAAAAGTTCTATGAAAGTCAGTAAGTTTTTACTGAGCATCTATTATGGGCTACATTGTCTGAGGCAAGATGAATTATGTAATAAACAGTCCCTCCCTCAGAAAATATGTAACCTAGTTGAAGAGATATTGTACCACATAACAGTACATTGTATGATTTCCTGTTTCATTTGAGTCTCATAGCCACCCTTTGATTTAGGTTAGTAAAACAGATATTTTTCAGTTAATTATTACAGCTCAGAGAGTTTAAGCAACTTGTCTAAGGTTACACAGCATGTATGTGATTGAGTGGACACTCACACTGTCTCCAAAATAGATAATAAAAGGTTAATGTGTCTAGAAATTGTAGTAAATTAACTAAATTAAATTATCATTTTTTACTGTTTGACTCCAAACCCCATAGAGTATCCATTATTATTTCTTTCTTGAGAAGAATATAAGATTGAATCAAATGCCAGAATGGGTATTTTAGATTACAAGTGCTACAGTGGGATTCCCTTTCACTACATATCTATGTAGAACTTCAACAATCATAGTGAATTATGCATAACCTGAAAATAAATAAAAGACTCTTCATACTTTAGTCCTTTCTGCCATCCTCAATGGCATATATATATATATATATATATATATA